TTCCCCCTGGCACCAATCCCCATACTTAGGGTAAATAGAGCTCAATGGAATGGGAGATCAAACTGTAGGGCAGCGGTTCTCAACCTGTGGGTCTCGACCCCTTTGGCCATTGAACGACCCTTTCCCAGGGTTGTTTAAGACCATCGGAAAACACATAAGTATTTCACAATATATAATTACATATTGTTTTGTGATTAATCACTATGGTTAAATTATGTTAAATTATGTTCAATTTGTAACAATGAAAATGCATCCAACATATCAGATATTTACATTATGACTCCTCACAGTAGCAAAATTACAATTATGAAGTAGCAATGAAAATAATTTTATGGTTCGGGGGCGTCACCACCACATGAGGAACTGTAATCAAGGGTCGCGGCGTGAGGAAGGTTGAGAACCACTGGCATGGGGCTGCAACTCATGGGTTGAGGCGCACGGTGGAACTGTATCTCATAGACTCTCCACACTGACAGTGTCGGACGGCTGTGCCATTGGGAAAATGAGTGAGGTTATTAGTGCCACCCCCAAGGGGATGACTGACAATGTTGTACTTTTTTGTTTTTCTGCCTTTAGCTTGTTTTTTCTTTCTTTCTGTTTGTTTGTTTGCTGGTTAGTTTGTTGCTGTTATTGCTGTAGTTGGTCTTACGGGGGTTCGATTTTATCATATTACGGCCATCAAAGTAAACCTGAGTCATGCATATCCCACGGACATGCAGATAGATTCTGGGCTTCTACTTAACTCTAGCCCCAATTCGAGAACGGTTAGTTCTGATCACATGGCCCTGCTCAATACTCACCTTCATGAAATGATTACTGAAGATAAGGTGCTAAAGCAAAGTATGGTGAAGAAAGCAGATGGTGCTCCAGCTATCAGTCAGCATAGTGAATGGGACCTAAAACAAGCAGCCATCTAAGCAAGGTGTCACCTAAGTTCACATGGAGGAAGCACATGAGCTTGTGTGATCCAATGATGACAATAACAAAATTCAACTTTGACAAAGAGAAAAGTATCAGAGCTAAAATTATGAACACCCAACTGGTAGAAGGCTATGGAGGACAAAACTCATATTTAGAGTAATTACTTAGGTTAAGCCACTGACAGACCCCCACTAGCCACAGGCAAGGGTCTCAAACAGCCTTACTATCAGATAGAAACCATTGTAATCTTGATTAAGCTGGATTGATCTTGATACTTGGTCAGCTGACTTACCTATTGACCCAACCTGAATTTGTTCTAAGTGCAAGTATCTCCTGTGTATTCCGTGACAAAATTTTTCCCTGGCTTTTTTAAATATTGAGGGTGGTCTTTTCTTTTTTGACCCATTTGTATTTTTATCTTTATATTGTTATTATTTTATCCTTACCTCTTTATTTTGATTTTGTTTTTTATTGTTTCTATTAGGTTTCCCAGTTTGTGAGGCACAGAAGGAGTGGATGCATAAAGATAATAACTGATGCAAGGTTTTACAGTGTGTGTAGGGCTGGGAGGTGGGAGATAGGGATGGTGAGGGGATTTTAGGAGTAAACAATGAAGGCGGAAGGGGGAGGGAGCCTAGAACTGATGGGCATTACACAATTTTAAAGGCCATTTAATCATGGGGAGGGGGGGCTCTAAAATGGATTGTGGTGATAATTGTACAATTCTTCTTTATATGATTGAATGATTGAACTATTGAATTGTATGATATGTGGATTAGGTGCCAATAAAAATGTAAAAAGCAAGTAGGTCGAAAATAAAATGTTATCTATTGACCAATGCTAAAATATTTTAAATGATGGGCTGGGAGAGGGAGGAGAAAAAAGAGGAGCGGATACCAAGGGCTCAAGTAGAAAGAAAATAGTTTGGAAATGATGATGGCAATCTATATGCCAATGGGCTTGATACAATTGAAGTGTGGATTGTTATAAGATCTGTAAGAGCCCCAACAAAATGATTAATAATAATAAAATAACTTTCTTGCTCTTCAATATTCTAAAGGGGCCTCATGCAAAAAAAAATTTTAAAAATGATTTCTGCCTATTTAAAAAAAATTAAAAGATGAGAGGTTCTGAGGCCACCCAGAGGAAAAAAGACCTGGCCGCTTTGTTGAGAACAACCAGTGATGGAGAGCCGTGCGGAGCACAGTTCTACTCTGACACGCATGGTTTGCATGAGAGAGGACCAACTCAATGGCAACTTGTACTGGCTGGAATTTCTCTTTCTTTCTTCTTCTTTTAAAAAAATCATT